GATTGATACAGTGACTAGAGTAATGAAAGTAAGTGTGTAAAAGACAGTAAAGTTGGCACAGGATAGAGCAGTTTTCAGGGATGTTGTACATAGGGTCACAATGAGTCACAAGTGACTCAATGACACATATCAATAACAATTCTTATTTTTTTTACAGAATTCCAAACTACTTACCAAGCAGCTGGCCACCTTGGGACAATTGCCTGCCATTTATAAAACTGTAAAGAAACAGAAATACAACTTCCCCCATGAATTGAAGAATGGGTATTTAATATTTTAATTTCTCTCCACATTATTTTATTTTATATTGGATTGCATGAATGACGGAAAACTAGACAATCTAAACAAAGCAATGCAATTGCATATGTATTGACATATATGTTAGCAATATGAAATGGATTGGCAATGGGACATTTTGAGTCAGATGATTATGTGATCTACTGTGCTAGAGATGAAAAGGTGAAAAAAAAACAGGGTTGCTTTCATAGTTTAAAAGGCCATTTCTAGATCCATCTTGAAAGAAAATATTGTGACAGAATAATATCCATATGCATAGAAAGAAGATCTGTTAATACCACTATCATTCAAATTTATGTGCCTACAACCAGAGCCAAAAAAGGAGGAAATAGATGATTTTTATCAACTGTTGAAACCAGAAATAAACATGTAACCAAAATGTATTAATAATAATGGGTGACTGGAACAAGAAAGTTGGGAACCAGGGAGAAGGATCAGTAGTGGCAAAATATGGACTTGGTGACAGAAATCACGTTGGGAATAGAATGATAGAATTCTGTACAATGAAAGATTTATTCATAGCACATACCTTTTATAAGAAACATAAATGCAGGCTATACTCATTGATTTCACCTGATGGGATGCACATGAATCAGATTGATTACACTTGTGGGAGGAATCGTTGGAGAAGTTCAATATCAGCAGTGAAAACTAAGTCAGGTGCTGCTTGTGGAACAGACCACCAGCTACTCATATGCAGGTTCAAATTTAAGATAAAGAAGGTTAAATCATATCCACAAGAATTAAAATTTGATCTTGAGTCTATCCCTCCTGAATTTAAAAACCATCTCAGGAATAGATTTTAGGTCTTGAACACTAATGAATGAAGACCAGATAAGCTGTGGGAAGATATCAAGACTATCATTCATAAGGAATGCAAAAAGTCATTACAAAGAAGGAAGAAGAAGAAAAGATCAAAATGGATGTCAGAAGAGACTCTAAATATAGTACTAGAGCACCAAGAAACTAAAGCAATGGGAAGAAATCAAGAAGTTAAGGAGCGGAATAGAAGATTTCAAAGGGCAGCTTGGGGAGACAACACAAAATATTATAATGAAATGTGCAAGAAGTTGGAGTCAGAAATCAAAAGGTCCAGACTTGCTCAGCATTTCTTAAGCTGAAGGAAATAAACAAATTTAAGCCATGAGTTGCAATACTTAAGGATACTATGGGTAGAATATTGAATGATTCAGGAAGCATTAAAAGAAGATGGAAGGAGTATACAGAGTCATTGTACCAAAGAGAATTGGTTGACACAGAAGAATTTCAAGAGACAACATATGATCAAGAGGCAATTGTGATGAAAGAGGAAGTTCAGCCTGCTCTGAAGGACTTGGAAAAAAATAAAGTCCCGGGAATTGATGGCATATCAACTGACATATTTCAACAAACAGATGCTGCCCTGGATATGATCACCAGGGAGTGCCAAGAAATCTGGAGGACAACTACTTCGCCAACTGGCTGAAAGAGATTCATGTTCATTCCTCTTCCAAAAAAAGGTGACCCAGCAGAGTGTGGAAATTATCAAACAATATCACTAATATCAGACAGAGGTAACTCATGGTTACTGTGATGCTAAACACTGTGACACTAACATGTCTGTGCGATAATGGTTACCCCTGGTGGGCAGTGTTTGGTGGAGCTCCCAGATTGAAACAGGCTTGGAAGCAGGAGTGGCATCCACTTCTGAAATAGCTTGCCTCCAGAAACTCTGTGAATTTAGAGAAATGATGAAAGTTATACAAGTATTCAGGTCTTTTGTTCATAGGGTCATTATGACTACAACTCGACAATACTTAACAACAACAAACAATAGTTAAGTTTCCAATCCTTGGGAAATTACATCATGCTGATAGAAGTGGAAGATCAGGGAAGAAAAAAAGATCCTCAACACAATGCATTGATATGGTGACTGTAACAATGGGCTTAAGCATGTTTTGGAATGTGGGAATGGCATAAGATAGGGCAAGAATTAGATCTGTTGTTCATAGAATTGCTGTTAGTCATAGAGAGAGCTTAATTGGCCTAGGGATAGAAAGTTATGCTACCAAGCCAAAGGTGGATGATTTTAATTTATAGCCCTCAGGCCTAGTTTTAATTGTTTTTGGTCAAACATTCTTTTAAGTAGTACAGCATTGGTCTGTCAATTTACTGTACAGAAGTATCTCATAGTTGCTGTCATGCTATACACTGTGACACTAATGTGTCAATGCAATAATGGTTACCACGGTGGACAGTGTTTGGTGGAGCTCCCAGATTGAAACAGGCTTGGGAGCAAGAGATGCATCTAATTCCAAAATAGCTTGCCTCTGGAAACTAGAGAAACAGTGAAAATTATACAAGTATTCAGATCTTTCATTCATATGGTGCCTATGAGTCGTCTATGACTCCATGGCACTTAACAACAAACGACAACGTCACTAATATCACACTCTAGCGAAATCCTGCTGAAGATTATCCAGAAACGACTGTAATAGTGTATTGAGACCTACCAGAAATATAAGCTGTGTTTAGAAGTGGTCGTGACACTAGAGACATAACTGCCAATGTCAGATGGATCTTGACAGAAAGCAGAGAGTACCAGAAGAACATCTGTCTGTATTTTATAGACTATGCAAAGACATTTGACTGTGTGGATCACAACAAATTGTGGCTAACCTTGAGGAAAATGAGAATCCCAGAACGCTTGATTGTGCTTATGTGAAACCTATACTCAGACCAGGAAGCAGTCCTCAGAACAGAGCAATGAAACACTGCATGGTTCAAAATCAGGAAAGGAGTGTGTCAGGGATGCATCCTGTTCCATTACCTTTTCATTCTGTAAGCAGAACAGATCATTCAGGAAGCAGGGCTTTTTAAGGAGGAATGTGGCATCAAGATTGGAGGAAGACTCATCAACAACCTATAATATGCAGATGACACAACCTTGCCTGCTGAAAATGAAGAAGACCTGAAAAGCTTGCTGAAGAAGGTAAAGGACCATAGTCTTCAAAATGGATTGAAGCTCAACATCAAGAGGACAAAGATTCTCACCACTGAGCCAATCGGCAGCACCATGACAGATGGAGAAGAGATTGAGGTTGTTAACAATTACAGCTTGTTCAGATCCACAACACTCTTTACACCAGAAGTCAGGAAATCAAAAGATGAATTACATTGGGAAAATCTGTTGTCAAGGACCTCTCCAGAGGGCTGAAAAGCAATGATGTCAGCTTAGAGACTAAGGTGTCCCTAATCCAGGCCATGGTCTTCACAATTACTTGCTATGCTTCAGAGACCTGGACAGTGACTAAGGACAACAAAAGAAGAATTGATGCCTTCAAGTTGTGGTGTTGGAGGAGTCTTGAATATACCATGGACTACCAAGGAAACAAATGGGTCTGTCTTGGAGAAGGTAAAACCAAGTTTCTCCTTGGAGGCTAGAATTTTGAAGCTCTGCCTCACATACTTTGGGTATGTGGCCAGGAGAGACCAGTCCTTGAAGAAGGACATTACACTTGGAAGGACGGAGGGACATCGCAGGAAGACCCTGGGTGAGATGGATTGATACAATAACTGAGCCAATGGGGATTGATGTGTCAGAATTAGTAAGACTGGCTCAGGACAGGCTAGGTTTCAGTGATATGTTATATAAGGCCACTGTGGGTCGCTGGCGATTCGACAGCACATAACAACAACAACAGCAACAACAACAACAACAACATTGATGTCAGTTTGAGCACTAAGGTTCGTTTGATTCAGGCCATAGTCTTTCCAATCACTTGCTCTGCATCTGAGAGCTGGACAATGAATAGGGATGATAGAAGAAGAATTGACACCTTTCACCTTTGGTGTTGAAGAAGAGCACTAAACATCTCATCAGAAAAGAGAACAAACATACATCTTGGAGAGGGTGCAGCCAAAGTACATTTTGAAGGCAAGAATTATGAGGCTTTGCCTCACATACTTTGGGAATATTGCTAGGAGAGTCTATTCTTTGGAGAGGGACTTGGTGCTGAGAAGGTGGAGGAACATGGTGTTGGAGGGTCGGCGAAGGAGAGGAAGACTCTTAACCAGGTGAATTGACACAGTGACTGCTGAAGTGGGCTCTTGTGTATCAGGAAGTGTGAGGATGGCGCAGGACAGGGCAGGATTCAGATCTTTTCCTCATAGGGTCACAGTGAGTAGTACTCAACTCCATGGTACCTAACAACAACAACATCTATATCTTTTAATTTAGAGAATTTGGCTATGATATGTCTTGATGCTTTCCTTTTTTTTGGGCCTAGTCTGTTTGTTTGATACTTGCTGTGCTTCTTGAATGTGGATTTACTCATTCTTCAAAATACCCGGGAAATTTTCTGCTAGTACTTCTTTCACAATTTTCTCTGCGACTTCCCTGTTACTCCAATGTTCTGGAATTCCAGTCATATGTATGTTGTTCCTTTTAATGTCATCCCACATAATTCTAATGTTTTCTTTGTTTCATCTCTGATTTTTCTTCTAGAATATTTCCAGTGAAGCTCTTGTCTTCCAGCTCATTGACCCTCTATTCTGTCTCTTCAGTTCTACTTTTTTGTCCTAACAGTGTGTTGGACACTTCTGCCATTTCAGTCTTAATATTCTGGACTGCATTTTTTATGTTTTTCTGGTATTTCCAGCACTGTGCTGGCTGTTCCCTCTTTGTCTTGTGATGATTTTTTTTAAATAATATTTTTTTTATTGGGAAAAACATATTGGGGGTACAAGGAGGT